TATTAACAAATTCCGTACACATTATTTAGCAACACAAAATTATATGTCGTTCTGTATTCTCCAAAAGTGGCGCTACTGGGAGGTGGGTAGGAGGTGGAACCAAGGGACAGTACTCCAAATTCAGTAGTGGGAAGAGACAAGGGGTGACTTGGAAAGGGGGGTAGTACCTGCACCTATTTTCTGAGAAAAAAGGCCCTGACATAAAGCAACAGTTAGATTTTAGGAGGTCTGTACTCACATTCCATATGCTCCCTTACTCTGCCAGTGGAGGTCTGGGCATTGTGCACTGTGTGGCACTCTTCCTGCCTCCCCATAAGGCAGTGCTGGATTCCTGCAAAACCAAAACTAATGGCACCAAGTAAAATACAAGCACACACTTCTGAATCCGATATATATATGTTTAGATATGAAATCAATAACAAGGAGAACAAAGTGTTAAAGTCACCCTTATATAAATATTATGCCTTCAGCTCTCTAATGTCCTGTTCACCATTTGGATGATTGGAAGGTGTAACCATGGGCAAAATAAAAAATAATATACAATGCAATCTGTTACTTAAACAACACAGTTTTTGTTTTTCTGAGTCCCCCTATAACATTGTTTTATTATCTGATAATCCTGCCAGTAGATCCATTTGTATTCCACTTCCTTTACTGAGGTGAAGAGTTTTGCTCTGTACTGACATTGTACAGCAGCACAGCAGAAAAGCCACTCTGTGGACAAGGTAGTCTTAGATGGACATGCAGTTTTAAATGGACTTTGAATTGATATTGACCCCAAAAACAAAACATAAAAATAATTTTCAGCTTATAAATCCTTAGATGTGGTGGCTGCATTAGTTTTCTTTTTTAGGCTTTTCATCTTTTATTTTCACCTGGTGATCCTCCACACAGGCAGAGATTCCCTTTATTACATTAACAGGTAATTTTTTTCTGCTGTTTCATAAATATTTTCTTAGATCATGCTTGCTGCATTCTAATTTTACTATGCATATATATTTCAGTATTGGTTTGGTTTTTAATGGCCCTTGGTATATGTAGCGAATCAGTGCTTTAGATTTTTTTCCCATTTGGTAGACAGTACTATTCTCCATATTATATGCACCATTTAGCAGACTGATTCCACTAAATATTACCATTTACCAAAGTCACTGTGAATATTTAGTATTTAGTGTTGAGTACAATGGAGACTTCAGCTGTGCTTTCCCATATTGCTGAGGACAGATCATCAGTAGCTTTCCTTTTATCTCTCCTTTGTTATACTACACATGTGTGAATGTATGGATATGTCAGAAAAGATGAACGTCAACAGTCAGGAATAAAGAAAGACAGTCCTGATCACACATATGAATATTTAGGGGCATGTTTATAAAGCAGTTAATCTGGGATTCAGCAAACATTCACTGCAGGTAAATCTTCATGGTCCATATGTTTTATATGACAGTGCCTGGGCCCCACAGCTGGCCTGGGCCCCATACAGGAGGACTGGTGGTACATTCTGCAGTTTAGCCACAAGATGTCACTGTTTTCCTAACAGCCTCAGACTGCATAGATATTTCTATATTCATGAAGAGGTGGAGTTTTCACACAGAGTTGAGAGGGAACAGGAAGAAGAGAGAGCAGCCATGTTCTGGAGAATGGTGAATGAGGGGGGCCCATGTGAGCTGAGAATCTGATGACATCCAGGTGTGAGAGCATCCCTCCGTAACCAGAGATTGCTGCCAGGAAGCTGATGAGATTGCTGCCAGGAATGCTGATGAGATTGCTACTAGGAATGCTGATGAGAGCAGAGGAACTAAGCAACATATACGGCGAGACTGCATGCTTGTTGGAGAGACATTTGTTCTGTTTCAGAGTCACCAGCGGATGAAAAGCAGACCCGGGTCGGTAAGATCATGCACGCACCTCATTTCAGTGTTGGCGCCTTGAGACTGAGTCCAGGCCTATAGTTAGTTAGTTAGGGTCTCTGTTTGTGTCAGGCCACAAGTGTTGTTACTGATCATTGGAAGTTCTCCACAACTTAAAGTGACATTTCACATTGGAGAGCTGATAAAATCCTACAAACTCAAGCCAGACTGGTGTTTTGCTCAGAAGGAATACTCAGGCACGTGCTACAGGACCAGTTATGAGAGGGGGAATACTGTAGATTTGTGTAATATTGTAAGCTGTTGTGCTGCACCGCAGGCTAGCCCGTACCATACACCCATACACTGATTCCTGCTCTTTTTAGGGTAATAACGGGTAAGGTGTGGCAGCATAGTTGTGCCCGCCAGTAGGTAAATTACTACACCTTCTACCTTCATCCATCAGAAGGAGCTGTGCTGTGCAGCACAAGGGTCTCAGCCTTTGGGCTGGGTGTATGTAAATTTATTGTATGTTCCCAGCATTTGTGATTGTGTTTATTTGCCACATCTAAGTAAAATTCTGTTGTGGCAAAAGCTGGTGTTGCGGTTTCTTTCCTCGTTCGTGACTTCACTGTATCCTGGGGAGCCCACCCCGGTACACGGCCTACAAGTCCATGCCTGGTGCTAACGCGTTTAGCCACAGAGAACCTCAGGGAACAAGATCACTTCTTTAAAACATAGGCATCTAGTAAATTAAAGACTGCACTGCAATCTATCCATGCTCATTTGCTGCACTCAAAGTCCTTGTGATTAAGGGTAACACAGCTCAATTCTATTGGACTGAAATTTCTCCACATATAGAAGCTGACTTTCACTCCTTATTTCCAGCCTAACATAAAGATGGCAATACCATTACTCATTGATCCCACCTTCATAGCAGTAGTTCCCTTCCCCTATCAATGTTGATGAGGAGAAAGACTTCTTCCCCACAACCTTGACTCACTGGTTGTGCAGGTCTGCAGGCAGGGAGCTTACTGGAATCTGGAAGCCCCCTTTAAGATAAGGGTACCCCAGGTACCAGTTTCATCTATGTGAATGAGTAAAGAGCACATAGTACTCCTAGTGCATAGTGCAATATGATACCACACTTTTGACAAGTCCAGTAATAAAAAAAAAGTCCCACAGTGTACATCCATCATCAAGAACATCATCCAGCAGGCCCAGATCTAGGGGGGTGCTAGGGTGGACTATGCCCCCAGATTTTAGTTGTGCCCCAGACCTCTGAATCCACAAATCCATGAGACCTAATGGGGACAGTTGAAGTACTGGAGCACTCTGAGATGGGCAAATGATGTAAGGGGATACTCTGATGGGGACAGTTGATGTATGGGGAAAGTCTGATGGGGACAGTTGATGTAAAAGAGACATTCTAAGGGGGAAGTTGATGTAAGGGGGCACTCTAATGAGGCAATTGATGTAAGGGGCATTCTGATTTGGACATTTTATGTAGAGGGAACTCTGGTGAGGGCACCTGATGTAAGGAGGAACTCTTATAGGAGCCTTGATGCAAGGAGGAACTCTGATAAAAACTCCTTATATAAGGAGGGACTCTTTTAGGGACACCCGATATAAGGGGGCACAGGTTTTTTTTAATCACCCATAACTAATGACAGCATTCCCAGTTCGCTCTTGCACCACCTCTGTACTACCTGTCAGACGATACTTCCAGGTTATGACTCTGAGGTATAGAACTATGCCGAGTGAACAGGAAATATAGGTTCCATGCATCCTAGTCACACTACTGACATTATGTCTCCTGACTTTTTTTCTGCACCCCCAGAAGAGATAGGCTAGATCCGGTCCTGCCATCCAGAGATGCAGATCCACACTAATCATCCCAGGTGATGTCATTCACCAAATACGGCTATGGCCACATTTTGTTAATGTTATTGCCTAAATGTGGTCATGTGGCCATATTTGATCAGTGATGTCAGTGCTATATCTGTCTTGGGGATTACAAGCCAGTAAATGAATGCGATTGGGTGACATCACTGTTTGCTAAAGACACAGCGGGTGCTGGTACTCCGCCACTTCCTTAATAAATGTTGACAGCTGTCATATACTGTATAGTAACAGTAAGAACACAGCTACTATACAGTATATGACATTCGGCTCCTGCCACATAAGCAAAAAGTCTGCTGTTCAAATGAACTATGTGATAAGATCCACACCCAGGGATAACCTATAATTACTGCCACCCAGATGCCTATACTGTAGAATTCACCAAATGCACAAAATATAAAATGAATACAAAATTGGTAAAGTGCCCATACTGTAGAATTCACCAAATGCACAAAATATAAAATTAATACAAAATTGGTAAAGTTTCTGGTCGCCAGGATATTACTTCCCCCCTGGGAAGACACAGATATATACAAGAAACCCAGCTTCCAAATCCGCCATACAATAAATAGTCCCTTTTGACAGTCACAGGGTGTTCATGCTATACGATCTCCAAATTCTTCAAAGGTTCTCACCGTCTCAATCATTCAAATATCCCAATTCACATGTAGCATATGTTTATATGTTATTGGAGATCTTATAGCACAAACACCCTATGTGACTGTCAAAAGGGACTATTTATTGTATGGCAGATTTGGACGCTGGGTTTCTTGTATATATCTGTTCAAATGAACACCCAAACTGCCAAAGCTCAGTCTGAATTTATGTTCGGACCAAACTTTGAGCTCATCCCTATTGTTCTAGGACAGGGTAGGAGGTGTGCAAATTGTAGAACCATCCTGTAATAGTTACATAGTCCCATTTTTGGTTTCTTGGATGAAAATGTTAGTTCTACCCATTTGGATATAAATCCTAGGGTGTTAACTCAATACAAGCAAGGAATACCTCCGGCGGCTTGCAATTATTTTTCAATACCAATAACATTTATATTGTTAAAGTAAGGATACAGAATGTAAGACAGAAAGTTAAGGGCTAAGTAATAATTAGTCTTAGGCTTTAAGAGTTAGGGGTTAAATTTGAGGTTGAGGGATAAATTTAGGCGACAGGGATAGGGTTAAGTGTTAGGATTAAGTTACAAGTTAGCAGATTAGTTTAACCCCCCTAGCGGTATTCCCGAGTGTAGCTCGGGGTAAAATGTCAGTACCAAAAGCGGTAACCCCAAGCTACACTCAGGCTTACCATGAGGTGCTGCATATTGAGTCCCTGCAGAGCTTACCTTGTCCTTCGCTCCCACGATGTGTCCCCTGCAGCGTCCCCGGCCATCTCCTCCAGCTGATGCCGACATCCGGCTCCTGTGTTCCGGTCCCTGTGACGTCGGGACGTACGGGCTCCGGCGGCGGCGGGAAATTTGAAAATTTAAAAAAAATTTCATTTTTTTTCAAAACGATTTTACATAGTAAAACATTGCTGTTTCAACCCATTTCACATACATTTTGTCCCTAGTGCGTTGTCCTGTGCCCTGCCTGCATTTTGAATGTTCCTTCTGCCTGGAAACTTAGAAAAGTCCATGGCATCCAAAAAGTATCCCTTTAGGTCAAAAGCGGGTTTAGACCAGCTAGAGAACAGCGATAGTAAATCCGAACCACTTGCCGAATTGAGTGATAATGATTCGTGGAGAAATTCGTCATCAGACACTGAAAGCAATTTTGGGACTTTGCTCAGCGATGTGCGAACTTGACGCTATATTTCAAATTTCAGTGTTTTTGGTTTGATTATGTTATTGAATTAAATGTATTATTATTTTATTATTATTTTTTATTATTATTTATTAAATTATAATTTATGATTTTGTGTTTCAAATTTTATCATACGCGGGATGTTTAATAGACTCTTGTTCGGACAGATTTCAGTGAGTTATTCCTAAATATTACAGCCTACAATAAAAAAAACGACATATTTCCATGCAAAATAATGGTACCGCTTTCAGCACCAAAAATCTGAAATAATCATACCGCCAGGGAGGTTAAAGGTGAGCTCTACACTATTTGCATACACAGTTTATCTTGTTAAAACTCATGTTTTAACATGCATTACTGCAACTTGCTACATGCTACTGCACCTATACCTTAAGACCCAACACACCTGACCTTCAGCACAGTTCAATGCAGAGATGTGAGCACACTGTGGATTGTGATGCACTGTGTTGTCCTGAAAAAGTGCATATGTGCTTTTTTCTGCACTGGAGCTCATTAATGGCCCTTCAAAGTGAATGGATCTCCTTAACTCAACACATCAGTGAATAAAAAACTAGTTCAAACTCAGACACAGCAGGAGTAATAGCATGTCAGACCGCTGCAGAGAGGCTGCTGCTTCCACAAAAAGAACAGCTTCTCTGCTGCCTGAGGCTCTGAAATGTGTGCTGTCGCTGTAGCTGCAATCTATCAAACATCAAGACATATTAAAATATGTTTTGCAGAACCTTTAATTGAATTCATTAATTTAACATCATACTCCAACTGGGCTTTAACAAGACTGAAAAGATCTTATATCTAGGAAATGATAAATAGGTAAGTCAATATATTTTGCTCAGTTTAGATACCTATGGTGAGCCTAGAACCCTAGAGCACTGTTATCCCTCACTCATCATTATGCTGTACCTTGAACTATTGCAACTTTATTGTGCATCAAATGACAAACCTTGAAGCTCAGTGAAACTGACACCAGCGAGGGCTATATCAGCAGACAAATGTAGACTAAGTAGACAGATGAAGAGGCGAAGCACAAATCTGAACAGATAAAACACTGGCAAAAAAGAGAAAGAATGAGTGAACGGAGCCTAGGGAGTAGAAGCCGAAATAAATTAAAAATGGGAAAGCCTGATAGAAAACAGAAGAAAATTAAGTCAAATAAAAAGTAATGGTGTAGAGAGGCTGCAGCATGAGGCTGTAAAAAAGCAATGCACGGGAAACCTACTGATCATCATCTAGATGCTACAACTGTGTTCAAAAATACTACTGTAATAAAAGAAAAAAGCATTCAGCAGAGGCTTAATAACTGCACATCCATTTGATTAAATAGAAGGGCCCATTAGACAAATAAAAGTCATGGGTTTTATATGTTTGTTTGCCAAGAGAGGTCGAAGAACAGATTAAAGAGACTCCTTGGCTTCATGTAAATGGATAATGAAGTAGAGTGACCTCATGATGATCACATGTACACCAGGAGAGAGAACACAAGAAATAATAGAACTCTCCAACCCCACCATCAACTGTTGTTTACTGTTGGCTTTATTCCACATGCAAAGCCATGTGTAGAGGTGTACAAGCCAAGAGGTTCTCAAAGGTAACTATCTGTATACCAGGAAAGAGAACATACTGAAATATTACAGGAACTCTTTAATCCCACCACCAACTATGGTTCACTGTTGGCTTTATTCCACATGCAAAGCCACTTGTAAAGGTGTATGGATAAATAGGTCCTCAAAGATAACTATCTGTATACCAGAGAAGAGGACACAATGACATACAGTAATTGTCTAATCCCAGTAATTGTCTAATCCCTCACCAATTGTGGTTTACTGTTGGCTTTGTTCCACAGCAAAGCCAAGTGTAGAGGTGGGTAAACCAAGAGATCCTCTTTTGAAGGGAAGAAAAGGCTAAACAAATTAAAATTAGAAAAGTCTGATAGAAAACAGAAGAATATTAAGTCAAATAAAAAGTAATGGTGTAAAAAGGCTGCAGCTAAAATCTGTGAAAAAGCGATGCAGAAAAAACCTACCAATCATCACCACACAACCGCTAACAAAACACAAAAGGCTTCAGTGGAGGTTTGATAACTGCACATCCATTTGAATAAATGCAAGGGCCCATTAGACAAAAGTCATGGGGTTTACATGTTTGTTTGCCAACAGAGGTTGAAGAACATATTAAAGAGACTCTTTAACTTCATGTAAATGGATAATGAAATGGAGTGACCTCAGGATGATGACATGTATACATGGAAAGAGAACACAATAAATAATACAGGGAATCTCTAACCCCACCACCAACTATTGTTTAAGGGTATCTTAATTCCACATGTAAGGTGGCTTGGGATTGGCTGATGCTTGGCGCCAAATGGTACAAATCCATGGCCTGCTTCTTCTAGGATAGGACAGCTATCCACCTGATGGTAACCCCTTACCTGCACCATATTTTGACTAACTCCTTGCCAGAGGCCTTCCAATGGCATCTCCAGCCATTAGCCTTTACAGTATATTTAAGAGAAAAGAATGTCCACACAAATAGTACAGTTTCTGCACTTTACTGATGTTCTTCAGGAGACGGCAGTAACATATCATATTACATAGACATACTATCTAGGGTCGCTTGGCATTATTTTGCCAATCACATATAAGGTGGACCTACCGTAGCAGTCATTATGTGAAAGCATCATATATCACATCACTCTTAAGCCATCTTCCCATTTATGTAGTCTCTCTCCTTTCCAGGGTCATCAGTACTCACTCAGAGGACTCCGACTTGCCATAGGCTCTAGGCATCCAGCTCACGTCTTCCTGCATGTCATTCCAGAGACAAGACTGCTGCAGGTGCTCCACTAGCTCAGTACACTTCTCTCAGGACCTCCATGGGAATAGCACTCATAACAGAGAACACTTGGCCTAACCTAAATGGTCTTTTTCAACCTGTTAGCCTCCACCAACCATAAAAAGACAAGAAGACTACAGCTGGCTTTTCTGGGGCAGAACTATCTCACTTTGACCTCCCTATCCTGTTCAGGGTTGCTGTATAGATGACTACATCTGCATGCTGATGGATTATCTGGCTCCCATACCTCATCTGCCCAGACTCCTCCCAACCTAGCATATACTGTATATGGGTACTAACTCCACCCATTACATCACTACAGGAAAGCTTTGTCTAAAAGGAACCTAACACCCAATTATATTATTCTTTGTTATCACATACTGTACTATTTTGGGACAGAGCCACCTAGTACCTGCTTACACACAACGTAATGTGTCAAGGCATACAAACCAAAAGGTCCTTAAAAGTAACCCTGTATACCAGGAAAGAGAACACAATGCAATAATACAGGATTTCTCTAATCCCACTACCACACCAACTAGGGTTCATTGTTGGCTTTATTCCACATGAAAAGTCACGTGTAGAGGTGTAGAAACCAAGAGGCCCTCAAAGATAACCATCCATGTTCAAGAATGATAGTGTAACATACATTATGTACTCAAAATAATTGTCACCTTCGACTGGTTCAAGTCCATACTTGGCTTTATTGTGGAAAAATGCTCTTTAAAACATGACATTGTAGGATTCTTATATTGTTTCTTGTGACGTATACATTAATTTCTCTCTTGAGTCCTCTAACATCTTCTGGTTGTATCAAAGTTTGTCCATCACTTCCAAATCCCTTTGTCCAATTAGACAGCCTATCATACTGATGAGCCAATAGGGACAGGGGGAGTGATCAAGCTTTGATGCTATCAGGAAGCACAGAGCTATACCTGATCCCAACTGTCTGGTATGAGAGCAGAGCAGAGACACATACATTTTTTTAAAGCAGTGAATGTGGCTTTTACCAAACATTCACTGGTGGTGAATCAATCACTGTCATTTGGAGCATGGGGAAGATTTACCTACAGTGAATGTTTGGTGAATATCAGATAATTGTATCCCTTAAAGTGTATAAAAAAGGGATAACATTTTTGGATACACTGTGGAACCCCTGTTAGGTTTTTTATTGTTGTCCCCACTAGAGAAATTTACCCTCTCCATTTGGCCCAGTGGCCATTGTCTCCAGGACAGAAGGTGATGGGAAATATTTTTTTTCATTTTTCATAGGAACAGGAGGTAAGAGGAAATCTTTCAATATAGACACCTGTTCTGGTGACAACTAAGAGGAGATATCCCCTTGTTCTGTAGAGATTCCCTCTTACTTCCTGCTGCAGGCAGTTAAAGTATAACTAAAGGCAAACTTTTTTTTTGGATGGGGTGGGATTAGAACAGATGTAAGTTTTTAATAGTCTGTACCCCCCTTTGAGGGATTGCCCTCTCTATTTGTCATGTTTACTATTATCACTGAAAGTGAAAGTGAGAAAAAATACCAAACTGTGTGTTGTCCCCAGAACAGTAATAGAGGGGAAATCTTCCAATGGCGAAACTCTTCTGGTGGTGATAACCGGGATTCCATCACTTTGAAGAGATTTCCATATTAAAGTTGCTGCAGGTAAATGCAGACAGGTGTAAATTCTTTTCATAGCTGCTTCTGAGCTCCTTCTGACTTGTATTACACCTCCGTCTAAGTCTCATCAAGCTGCTCTTGCATTCCTAATAACTTTTATAAAGAGAAAACCCATTTTGATGCAAACAAAAGCACTAAAGCAGGGGTGTCGAACCTACAGCCCATGGGCCATATGCAGCTCAAGATGGCTATGCATGCGGCCGAACACAAAATTGTAAACTTACTTAAAAAAAAAGAAAAAAAAAGAAAATTTTGACATTGTCTCTTTACTAGAGTTTAATAAGTT